TTTAAATGAGTTATAAGGCCTATAGAATGAGCCCATTTGGTCACATGCATGGACTTTTATATCTGATAAAACACTCTTTAGTATTCTTTATATAGAATACTAATAAGGCTGAACTTTATCAGATATAAAGGTCCATGACCCTAGCAAAGGTGTCAGGTTTGATACCTGATCATTGACCAATGCAGGATGCCAACTAATTCCAGTAGACAGCCAACAGCAGTTCTATTTTACTTTATGCGTATTCAATGTGGGATGACAAGAGTGCTTTGTAAAGTGATTCGTGCATGATCAGTTTGCTCCATTTATCTCAAAACATATTTTTAAAGCAATTTCTCCAAGAATAATTGAACTGATTTGAGTTTCAAATTATTGTTGAAGTTTTTGAAGCAGCTTAAAACACTTTCTTTTGTGTTTTAAAGTATAATATTGTAAAATGTGCAGTAACACTGTACAATAAATATACATCCTGGATTTTAGATAAATGCACATGACTGTACAGTACCTTTTGAGATGCTGATGAATTGATAGAATCTATAGCCTGAAAACGAAAAATAAACTTTACTGAGCACTGTAGATGAATGTTAAATGTATCTAGTAGTAGACACAACTACATGTAGTTAGTACTTCAAATATTAGGGCCAAACAAACAATGCCCAAAGCATGTCCTAGCTTTGGCATTTGCTGACTTTATTAGGTCAGTTTGAAGGCATTAATAGCCCCTAAAGAACTACATGTAGCCACTTTGGTGACCAAATGATAATATTAGGTCTATTGTGCAGTGGGTAACCAAGTTAATTGTGTTCCATAGCAACCAAAAGTACAGTACTTCCTTGGCAGGAAAAATATTTGAAATATAAGACCTTCACAGTCTCAAATGCAAACAACAGCTGGAACAGCCCTTCAGGATACACTAGCACATGCCCAAGTGCAGGGTCATCAAACACTTCTCATTATCAACATCCTCTGCACCTTCAACCATCCTTCAGCTACTGACTTCTGGAATCGAATACCAGAACGAATAGAATCTAATGTAAGGAGTTTGCCACTCTTTGCAGTACTTCCTGAGGCACTACAAACAAAAAAACAGCATAATAATGAAACACAAAGTTGACTTAAGAAATTATCATGATGATCAATAATAATACAATGAAGGAAGCAGGAAAATTGATCATAGTGATTACAACTGACTTTTCAAACATTTTTTCAAGACTGAATCAAAAAATGTACACCTCCAGTACTAAACAAAAAAGAAAGTAAAAAACTGGTGCTTCTACTGGGAGTGCATTTTTATGAAAAGTGAAAAATTTTAGGTGAAAATTTAAGTTATTGACTGAAACAGTTATTGACCACTATAATTTTGAAATTAAATTATTATTGTTTTAACAATAATATAAATTTTTCTAGAAATCTTTTTAAATCTGATCACTAAAGAGTTTGTAAATTTCATGCTATATGTTAAACTGTTTTCGTTTTTAAAATCACCTCTTTCGACACACTACACCAAGACCTTTGAATGAAACATGTTTCGTCTATTAGACCTTTTCAATCAGTTTAACATATAGCATGAAATAATATAAATATTAATTAAATATAATTAATACACACATGTACCTTTCCTTTGAATTTCTAGGGTTCAGTGGTGTAGAAGAAGACTGTGGTGGCAAAAGGGAATTGAAGTCAAGGTTGCTTCTTAATTCATTGATCACCTGAACATACAACAAAACAATATGATTTTTATTATACTGACAAAGGCAAAATGTATATGTTGAAGTTCAGGTTCAATATGATTTTGAACCAGTTCAATTTCTTCTGAACTGGTTCAGTTTATTTTGAGCCAGTCCAATATAACTCAATCCAGTACAAATCAGTTTAGGGTTAGGTTTAGGGTTAGGTTTAGTGTTAGGTTTAGGGTTAGGGTTAGGGTTAGGTTTAGGGTTAGGTTTAGGGTTGGGAATAGGGTTGAACCAGCATTATATAATAAATTTTCTTCATTGATAAATTACAATTAAGATAAAAACAATTTGCAAACATTACTACCAACAAAATACTTGATTGTATAATTGGTAGTACTGTGGACTATGAAGCAAGATTTCAGTGGTTCAAACCCCGATGAAGGTAAGTGCTATTCATAAATTAAAAATATAGAAAATATCAATATTTCTGTGGGGCATAGGGTAAGATAAAGTAGGAAATAGTAGAAGGTAGAAAATAAGATGATAGATAGAAAATGTGAGAGAATGAGATGGGATATAGTTCTTTTAGTTCTTTTAAGAATGCCAAAGCAAAAAAAAAAACAGTACAAGAAGTCTTGTACTGGAACAAATTACTAGATTAAACTGGTTCAAAAATATATTGAACCTGAACTACAACATAATATATATTACTAATAGTGGTTATCCAAATCATTAATAATTCATAAGGCAAACACAATGGAAAATAATGGCCATGACCACATCTTTATATATTGAGCAAGAGAGTTGTCCTGATTTGCATACAACTTTAACTAACAATGTTTTTCTTAAAATGATTTCATATTAATCAGGATCCTGCTCAGGATCTAGTTAGGATCCTGTTCCTTCATAAGATCCTATTTAAGATCCCATTCCTACAGTATAAATAAGATCCTACAGGATCCTGTCTAGGATTTGCACCAGAGAAGTCATCAACCAAAAACTTTCCACAACAAGTCAAGTCAACTTTCCTCTTTTAAAAGAAATCACAAGACATAAAATACCATGTAGCAAACATAACTATTTAGACTGAAAACAAGTGAATGCATGCACACAAAGTTCGCATTACTTACAGTACCTCAAATGCATCATTGTCAGACACAGACTGAAGGATRAATTTGGTGATGACTGGAAGATCTTCTAGCTTTGCTGATGGTAACATTTGCAGTACAGATACTCGCACCTACAGTTATAAAGGGRATAGTTTATTAAAGTATATTTGAAGATAAAATATTATAGATAAATATCTAGCCAAGCAGCTCTTGGGTTTTTTTCCCTCTCCCCAGTCCTCCAASAACCCCTATGCAGGCTAATAAATATCATGACCCAAAGTACCAGACCTCAGCAAGAAGCTCTTGTCTAAGATTCAGATTAGATAAAGCATCAAGAATAGGGACTGCAAGGTTTGTATTCTGCAGCAAAATCTCCCTGAGAAAAAACAAACACAACATTAAAAAGTCATGTAGAAAAATAACTGGGAGTAACTATCACTTGAATTCTTACCTCAACTGTCTTGCAACCTCAGAATGTTCAGCATCATCAACAACTTCAGGWAGACAAGTAATGATCTCATGTTGTACATTTGATGCTGTGATGGACACCATTTCAAGCATTTTCTCTGTAAGATCCTTAAATTATTACAAAAAGAGTGAAAAAGATGTACTTTTTTAAAGAAATAGAGGCAATAAAAATGAGAGGATAGAAGGATKAGAAAGAAAATGAAGAAATTGTTTCATAGTACTTACTTTGCTTTTYACAATTCTATCTAGCCATCTAAACTGATTCATGATCAATCTTGCAGTGTTACTTTCAMTGTTGGATCCATACCTGTGTTGCAAAACACATGTGAAGGCAATGTACTGWATGGTAAACATGAGAAAAACTGTGGTACTACATGTACATCTTACATTGTTTAGTTTGATATTATTATAGCAAATTTTCAGAAGCATGTTAAGAATACAGGTTACCAGTACATGTAATCAAATTATAATATAAATTATTTGTTTATAGGTCATTTATAGATATTTATAAAATTTTTGATATATAACGCACGCTCTGATTGGCTGACGACCGTGTTTATATCAGAGGACAGAGACACGCGCGCCGTTTTATATTTCTTAAACACTGTATGCTAAATATCCTACTGAAATAATTATTGTTTTTACCTATTGTCATCATCCATTAACTCTGGTAGTTTCTCTAGAAGCATATTTGCAATGGGTGGCTAATAACAAATGAAAACAAAATATGTTAGTCAGTAGTACAAATTCAAGGTCCTCAAGCATCATAACAGATCATGACAATCTAAGACCAACCACAGG